TCTCTTCCAGAGCTTCTGGTCTTTATGACCAGAGCCTCTAGTTCTAAATCACACTTTGAATAAATTTCAACAATCAGGACCAGAGCCCCTCTGGTCTCTCTACCAGAGCTTCTGCTCTTTATAACCAGAGCCGCTGGTTTCACTAACCAGACTTGGAATGTAATTCGACATTCAGGACCAGAGCCTCTGGTTGAACCAACCAAAACTTCATTAATATAAATAATCTTTAGATAAACTTTCAATCAATAAGATAACCTTTTTCATAAAACGAGTAATTTATAAAAAGGTCATGTTCGACTAGAGCCTCTGGTTGTACTAACCAGAGCTTCTGGTTCAATAGACATGCCCAACCAGAGCTCCTCTGGTTCAACGTGTAAGTCAACCAAAGCTCCTCTGGTCTGTTTTTCATAAAAAGATTCTAAGTATAAAATTCTTTTCTTAACCATTTAAAATATAATTTTGACGTGAAAACACTTAACAAAAGATACAACACCTCTAATCCATTTAATACATTTTAATAAAAACTTGCTCATCCTTCAAATCGATAACTAAAATCCTCTGGTCCAATGATGAGGACCAACCAGAGCCCCTCTGGTTCTTTACAAGGAACAACCAGAGTGTAACAACCCTCATATTCCATATACATAAAATTCACATCATCATACTCATAATACTAAAATAGTATCATTACAAAACATAGACTATCAAAATGTATCCTTAATACATAAACAAGTAAACTATTATCATCATTCAGACTTTTCCCTTGCCTTTATCTTTCAACATACGCTGATMTGCAAAACAGGTTAGTCCAACATCTGAGCGTTAGACCAAAAGGTCTAGTGAATGTATAATCTAATATAACAATATATATTCCAAACAATCAGTTTAGAATCAAACCTGTTCCGAAACATATCATATTTATGTTTCTCGTGGTTACACCGCCATCTCACTAACAGTTACACTGCCATTATATCACTCTCGTGGTTACACCGTCATTACATCTCTCTCGCGGTTACACCGCCATTACATCTCTCTCGCGGTTACACCGCCATTTCATCTCTCTCGCGGTTACACCGCCAATACATCTCTCTCGCGGTTACACCGCCAATACATCTCTCTCGCGGTTACACCGCCAATACATCTATCTCGCGGTTACACCGCCATTTCATCTCAAAAACATTTCAAAAAAGACATTCCTTCTTTTATCCGGACTTGAAGTCCGGCCAATCTTGTCCGGATAATAAGTCCGGTCAAAACACTTTGAAATAATTTAACATCTTTGTTCGGATTACAAATCCAGACAATACTTCACTTTCTTTGCTAACCGGTTTAAAGATAAACCGAACAATACATAGTCCAACCATTGACCGGTTTAAAGTAATCCGGTCAATACACCGCACAACACTTGAGTGGTTTAGAATTAAACCGATCACCCCTTGGCCGGTTTAGATGAATATCCGGTCACCTCTTGGCCGGTTTGGATGAATATCCGGTCACCTCTTGGCCGGTTT